AAAAATGTGTAAAACCAGAGTTTAAACATGAAGAAACCCTATAAATGTTTGTAGGATTTACAAAGTCTGTATGTTTATGTACATACAGGGAACACTCACAGGTCAAATTCAGAAAGGGTCCCAAACACTAGGACTAGGATCCCAACCCTGTTGAAGCTTTGATAGCAGCCTCCTGATGGCAGAGAAGTTTGCTACTGTACCAAACATGAAACTACTCTCTGGAGTAGCAGTCAGGCTTCAGGCAAGCCTTGACCAATGTACAGAGATACAGGAATGTATGAGTAGGGTTCCCAGTGGCAATCCTTAAAGGAACAAGCAAGGTTAAAACCAATAATAAAGCATAAGTCATAGTCAGTGACATGGGATGCTAGTATATAAGGAAATCAAAATTATCCCACACTTCCATCTGGAGGTCATGGTCAGTGACATGGGATGCTAGTGCAGCAAGGAAACCAACATTATTCCACACTTTCATCTGGAGAGCTGAGTAATGGGCAGCTACAAATACACAATTGGGAAAGGCTTGGGGGCAAGGAGTCAGGCTACTGTTTCAGGTCAGGGCCAATGAGTATATAACATCCATGAAAATACAGCAGGGTGTGGTGCCAAAGTTAGATTGGAGCTTTATAGGGCAACAGGGACCTCATACTCTGGGTTTGTGTCTTAGGACAGTATACCAGCAGATATTCTCACACCTATACAACCAGCCCATCACAAACTGGGAATAGCAAGAAAAGTTCCTTTACACTTACAACATTATAGCGGAGATCCTTCTACCAAGAAACTGAACATGCTTACTGTTAATGACTAAAAGTATTCTGTACATCGTTTCTGAGAATGTGTTGAAGGGTATACTTGAAGCCAAGGAGCAATATGATACCTGGTCCTTTACCCTTGGCTACTCAGCTTCCATATTCACCTGGCATACATATTCAATTGCCTCTGCAGCAAAACAATTCTATCTTTCTACCTAATTGAATATAAAAATACTTCTTGTTATTAAGGTTCTCACTCCTCCAAAATTTGACGGCTCAAGAGTCTCAAGCCCATTTGCAGTCATCAGTGGTCTCTAAAAGTCTTCCTCAAATTCAGTCAGGCTACCATTGAATATACTATTATGTAAGTAATGGTAAAACTAACCAACAATAACCTTGTTCAGAAACTCAGAAATAGGAAACAGAATACTAAAAAGTGATAAAATATGCAGATAACTGCTGCACATAATAAACAGGAATATGCAAAATAACTATAATCCTTATTTTTCTAATTGATGTTATGTCAGTAAGTATTTTAGTATCTATTATTTTTCTCTGTTACTCAGAAAAAAACTCTCTGAAGCACTGAGGTCTTAACATGGTACTAATGACCCAAATTGTACTTTATCAGTCTAAGCCACTCCACCTTTGTGGTGGGTTTCCTTCACTTCTCTTGGACATGTGTGGTAGGTAGGGTACCATATAGATATCCTAATCACTGGTAGCAAATGTTACAAGCAGTTTCTACTATGAAAACAGTGCTATCATGGATTATCTGAATGGAACCAATCTAATCATAATGGTTTTTAAAAGTGGAATAATAAAAACAGAAAAAGAACCAACCACTTTATTGTGAAGAACTCATTCCAACACTGCTGACTTTGAAGAATTCAGAAATGAGGCTAAGTGTCAAAGACTGTGGGGGAGTCTCTACAAGACAGAACAGGACAAAATGTCCTTAGAACATCAAAGATGGCAGCTTTGCTGACAACTTGGTTCCAGCCTGCTGATACCAAACCTGGACTCCTGATTTCTAAAAAGAAAATATAATACAATTTGTGTTGTTTTAGGCTCTTGTGTAAACCTGTTATAAATTAAACAGAAAGTAACTAAGCAAGATGCTTTTGCTCCTGGAATTACTTAGAAATATGACCTATAAATTAGAGAAAATGTTTACATCTGTGATAAACAATAACCACTGAGTCACTGTTACATTTTTTTGTATTTTATTTGAAATAACGCATAGGCAGTATACAAACTAAATGTGAACTAAGAATTTCCTCTCCTCTCTTCCTTGTTCCTCCTTTGACTGCCCTATATTTGTAAGTGCTAAATGCTAAAGAACATTTTCAGTACACAAACACCGTATCAAAAAAAATCCCTCAATCTCAAACTAAAGGTTAATATTTTGTACCTTATAAAACAATTCTTTGGCCAGGCATTATGATACATGCCTTTAATCCCACCACTTGAGAGGCAGAGACACGTGGGTCTCTCTGAGTCCCAGGTCACCTAAGGCTACATAGTAATATCCTGTCTCAAAAGAAAAAACAAAATAAACAAAACCAAAAAAATCTCCTACACAGTCTGAACTCCTTCACTTGTGCTTTCCTGTTCTGAAGTCTGTATGTAAAGGGGCTCGGGATGAACTTGAGTTCAAAAGACGAATTCAGAAGTCCAACTCTTGGGAGTTTCCCTCCCTACATGAAACTCCCAACATTATCCTCAACTGTCTCAGTATTAGAGAAATTGAACAATTCCTCATTCTGTCTGTAATAGCTTTGTCTATGAAAGCAATTCAGTCTAAAAGACTCCTACTACCCACATACTTCAGCAAATTTCAGATCTCCTTTAGACTTCCTTCTAGGTTCTATATTACCCTAAGGAAAAGAATCTTAAGCTTTTAAAGCTGGCTTCCCATTAATGGCATTATCTAGGTCTGGAGAGACAGCTCTGCAGTTATGAGCACTGGCTGCTCTTCCAGAAGTCCTGAGTTCAATTCCCAGAATCTAGTGATGGCTCACAACCAAATATGAGATCCACTGCCCTCTTCTGATATACAGAAGACAGAGCACTCATATAGATAAAATATATAAACAAAGGGGCATTATCTAACTTCCCCAACAGCACTAAATTCTAATTCACTCTTTTAAAGACCACTAGAAATAGCAAATAAAAGTCACACATGGTGCCCTATGCTTTTAATTTTAGCACTTGGGAAGCATAAGCAAGTAGATCTCTGAATTAAAGCCAGCCCTGGCCAATAATAGCAAATGAGACACCATCTCAAAAAGGCAAACAAAAACCCAAACAAACATACAAAACAAAAACAAAAAAGGAACAAAACAACAACAAAAAACCCAAAAAGACAAAAGAAATTAAAAAATAACTATCAAATAAAAAGGATTTAAAACTACTATGCTAAAACTACCCCATATACTAGAAGGTAAAATCATTACTGGCAAAAAATAGAATTGAAAACCTATTTCTCTGTGTATGTAATGAAACATAGTAACACACTCAAGTCATTTACTCTAATACTGGTATAAGGAATTATACTCATTGCTTCAAAGGCAAGAGAACATTTCAGAGAACACATGTTTAGGATTAGAAGTATTAAGTCCGATTACAGAGTGTTTACAGAATATCACCACACTAAGATGACGTGGCTTTCCCCACACATCAAATCATCTCCAGAGACATTTTTCTCATGTTATATCAAAGCTTGTTACTCAAGTTAGATTTTTCAGGTCTTGCAAGTAGACTTCAAAGCAGGCATTGTATACTCGTTCAAGGAGCAGAATACCATGCTACAAAGACGAAAAAGAAATCCATAACTCCTCTTCTAATTCTGAATGCACAAAACTGTTCAGTTTTGTAGATTAATTCCTGGTAAACAAAACTCCCTTAATGTGACTCAAGTACCCTTCTGAGAAGATCAAAATGGTGAAGTGGGCTCAGAACAGCAAAATCCACATTACTTGTTAGCAGGCAAAAATAAAAGCATGCCAATTCCTTGAGTACAAATGAGATTCTCCATCCTCAAGATGAAAGTCTGAGGACACCCAGCACCTTTGCCACCAAGGAAAAGGGGGGCCTTTAGTGGCTTATTTGGTGTCCAGTGTCATCTACATATGCTCCAAGAGGATTTAGAAGCTTTTCAGCCACATTTAATGCTTATTGGCAGGATTTAGTTGAATACAGTTGGCACTGTTCCAGTACATTTTTACAAAATCAAATCACTGACTAGCAAGAGTATTTCTATGTTTTCATAGGAAAGGCATATATAAAAGAAATAAAAAGGCTACAAAAACTTTCTATGTTATAAGCAACTCAAATATATAACATGTCAGCAAAAGATATTCTACATATAAAAGCAGTGACTCTAAACCTAATTGAACAATAGAAACTCCACTGAATTTCTGCCCTCTGTCCTAAATTTGGGGATTAGTAGATCTGCATAAGAGTCCACATATCCCTTGAAGTCCTGTCTTCCTGGTGGTGCTGATCACATCACACTCTTAAAACCACTGCATTAGAATAAAAAAGGTAGGGCTTGTGGCCTTGCTTCTGTTGGACAAAGGAGGAGTATAGGCATCCGCTCGGGCCCTGATGTGCTTGTGAGTCCATGCTCAGACTCTGTAGTGACAGAAGCAGGAGCAGCACTTTTGAGGCAAATGAGAAAGATAATCTGTCGTAAAGGGAATCCAGTTTTCAGAAAATATAACTGACCAGATTAAGGATTCCTTTCCTTTTGTCTCAAAGTCTCAGAAGTACTGCAGATGGTGCTGATGGTGCTTCTGTTTCTGATGAAGAGTTGAAAAGAATAGGTGAAGGAAGAGCTGTCCCTGGAGCCAAGAAGGAAACCAGACACCTTAAGCAAGCCATGGCCCTAGAACTAGAGAGTGTTAAAGTCTATAAGCAGTGAACCAGAGCTATCCAACTTCTGTGGACACAAAGTGCTCTCTTTTCTCTTCACTCCAGGCTCCATCATTTAGTGGCCTCCACTGTAAGAAAGCTGGGAGGGGATAGGGACACTAAACCATATCAAATGGGGAGACAGCAAGATAAAGCACCAGGCTGGGGTAACAGTACTAGGTAGACTTGCCTGAACTGTTGGCTGCCTGGATGTGCGCCTTTTTTCTTTTGATTATGTAAGAGCTTTTTCATTATAACTTATTATGGTGATCATGCAAGAAAGAAGACTGAAATGAGAGAAAATGTACCTCTTTTCCTGGAATAATGTTTATGATTGCAAGTACAATAAGGCATTTTTATTCATATAAAGGTAACCCTGGGTTATGCAAATTCCATAGTGAATACAGAAAACTTCACTATCAATAATAAATTTATTTTCTGACAAAAAGTATACAAAAGACACAGTTCCAGTTTTGTATGCCAGAGGAACACTTATTAGCATAAACTGTAACTAACTTTAGGATTGATGTGGTCAGAGTTAGTAAGATGATTTCTCTGTAATTGTTTGTTGAGATGTTGGTCCTGGGCTATTTATCTGTCCTCGATCCAGTTTAAGTGAGTGAGGCATTCAGGTAGATATGTACTATGAGATACATGTCTCTTGTATTACTTCTGTGACACTTTGCGAGACCTAGTTTCCCTTGCCAAGAGCTCTTCAAAGATCTCATTATGCATGTAAAAGAAGACATACCCAGTGGAAAGTCTAGCCTGGCATACAAGGTCCTCTTGTATACTTGTCACCTGTGGATCACTATAAGTGAACCAATCCTGTTTCCTGAAATCAAAGGCATCATTGATATAGTGGCCTCCATGAGGGCTGCTTCCAATATGGCTGATAATATTAAAGATCCTGTAAGAATTTTCTTCTTTATCAGTCACCCCTTGTGCATCTACCTTGCTTTTAGGCTTTCTCTTCTTACATAAATCATCTTTGCTTCCTGGATTCTTACAGGAATCTTGGGAGTCCTGTGAACTCACATCTGACGTATGGGACTCTGCAGGTTTCTTGTGGCTTCCTATCTGTTCATGGGAGTGTGGTTTTGGATGGCTTTGTACAACTGCCTCTCGGGAGGTCTGTTCATCACTTCTTTCTTCAGAACATTTCTGGGCCAGTTGGTACTTTTGGGATCTTTCTGGAATTCTGATACCATTATCTTTAGTAGCCTCACTGATTGTACCAGAACCTAAGTTACTAAGTAAATCTGCTTTCTTGTGTTCCTTCAGTTTTTCTGCCTCATTTGTTAATTCTGACCCAATTACATTTGATGTGTCACCCTTTCCCTGATCTTCCTGCTGCAAATTTCCACTCACCACTTTAGAAACTCTGTTTACATTTTGTGCTTCTGACTCCTTGTCTGATCCTGTGTTTACAGATGGGAAATCCTTGAATCCTGAGGTCCTCGTAGGACTAAATGAGAATTTCAGTATTTCAGAACCCAACTCTTGAAGGGGTTTTAGTAAGTCCAGATCCTTAACATGTGCATTTTGACTAAGGGGCTGAGGTAGTTTTGTGTTTTTGTTGCAGTAAAAAGACAGCTTTAAATATTTGGAAATAATGATGTGTTGTTCATCCTTCATCATTACCTGTGACTCACTAAAACTATAGCGTTTTAGGTGAAGAATAATAACCCTGGGGAGGCTGCCAAATCTGTGCAATGCAATAGATCTGTTGTGCATGCACCTTTCACATCTATGCTCAAGCTCTTCTGCTTTAAAAAAACAATCAAAACTGGACTGAATAGACAAGTTCTGGCCTTTCATTCCTTGAGGAATGTTGATGGAGAGATAACTACTCTGTTCTTTCTTGAAAACAGCCAGGCCACAACCTTTACAAAAAATAGATCTCGTCAACTCAAATTCAAAATTATTGGCAACAGGACAAACAGGAGTTTTGTTGATAATAGCATGGTCAGCAAACATCCGTCTAACTAAACTATTTCCCCCAGATTCATTTTCAGATTGCCACAATACAGTTAATTTCTGTACAGTTTCCTTCAGCTGAACTAAACAGAGACTCAAAAACTCATGAGCATCATTCTGCGTATCAGCAGTGAATACCTCTCCAAGTTCTGGGAGGGCTTTGGTAATACTTATAAGCAACTTCTCCCTAGTCTTCGTGTTGTAAATATCTTTCAACACAAGCAGTTGCATCAAGCGCATGTTAAAATCATCTCTGGGAGGTTTAATCCATGGGAAACCCTGATTGAATAAATCATTAACAAACAGTGGAACTGAGCATAGAGACTGTAATACTACATTTATATAACAGGTGTTTCCCACATTAGGTAGACCTTGCCATGCTTTCTCTGGGTACAGTAAGAGTGTTTTCATATACTCATGCCACTCTACGCATTTCTCCATACAGTGTGGTTCCAACAGAAATGGTGAAAACAATTTTCTAATGAGATCATGGAGATTACGAACATCCAAATCAGACTCTTCATGATAGCCTGTCTCAGATGAAAATCCAAATGCTGGTTTACTTTTTTCTGCCTCTCTTAAATCTCTCTCTTTCCCTTTATCATCATGTACAGGCACCGCTGACTTTACCTCAAATTTCCCACTACTGTACTTCAGGACATTTCCTTTTTCCTTCATTTCTGAATCAGGTGAGGATCTTTTCCTCTTTACAAGTTGTTTTTCTAATAACCCTAACCTATTAAGTGAGGCTGATGAGGATGAAGGCAAAGGTACCTCACAAAGCACTGATGTTTCACTTCCTTTGAGCGATTCCAAGCATTTACTACTTGCTCCCGAATGAACTTCCATTGATGAAGAGCCACCCAACTCCTCTGTGCTTGTGCTAGGACCACCAGAAGTCTCCTCATCACTTCTCCTGGATGCCCCAAGATTTTTTTGATACACTTTGTCCAGGAATCTCTTCAGTTGTCTGGCATCTGTGGTGGTTAGTTTCTCAACAAACAAGAAATCATTATTTCGAAAAGTTAAATGTAGGTAATTCTGGTCGTCACCATAGGTTCTAAGGATCACACTTTTAATATTATTTTTTAGCTGCAAAGCTTTAATCTTCCCACTGCTGAAATAGAGCAGAAGTTTAACTTCCTGTTTTCCTACCTTTGATTCAATGCATACACTTTTTGACTTAGACATTCCTGCCTTTGCACTCCACATTTGGACTTGAGCGTGTATCACTATAGGATCCATATTTTTTTTATCAGCAAATAAAGCATATGTATCTTAGATTATTAATAATCCTGTAGTTTCAATTTGCTTCCCAAGTTTACCTAAGGAGACAAAAAAGAAATAGCATATTACTTTTTATACACAACGACTATTTCTAATGTTGGCTCTATACTGAAAATTCCTCGTGTTCTAGCCCTTTATTAATTAACCAATACCTTTTGAGAAAAATCCATGTTTGTAACAGGACATAAATCTTGGTTAACAATGCAAGACCACAATTTTAAAAAATCCAAGGAAAAGTTCTTTCAGTTATGAAATGTTTACATAAAATGTAAACTCCTTTATACCATGTTAGATTCTATTCTGATTAATTTCACCTTTCCAATGAAAATAATCAAACCTCTGGAAGACATTTAAGACATAGCTAAAAAGCACACTGAACAGTATCCTGGTTATATACATATATAGAGTGATCTCACATGACAAACAAAACAAATGTCTAAGCAAACAGGAGCGCTATGTAGCCCTTACCCTCCATTGCAGAATTCATACATTGGATACTCAGAGTAAATCCATCTACTTCATTCCAAATCCAGTTAGATCACCTTCTTTCACTTAGAACTGAGAAACAACCATGTATTTTACCCTTCATTGAAAAAGTTGAATAAAAACTTCATAACCATCAAATATATGGTAGAATGATTTCTGTAGCCAGCTCTGCTACTTTACCCAAGTTAGCTATCTCTACTCAAACCTAATCGGGAAACTGCAGTATAATTATATGTTATAGCACATGCTTAGAATGCAAAAAGTCCCTGGGTCAATCCTCTGAACCCAAAATCATTTTTACAAAAATAGTCAAGAAGCATCAGATATATTTAATTACTGAAATTTAGAAATTTTTAAGTAATCTGGAGAAACACTTGAATTAATGATATCAGTCAGCAGTACAAATATTTGTATCAGAAAGTATGTTTAAGAATTCATTGCAAGTTGTGTTTTCTCCTAAATAGTTAATATTCCTCCTTAGTCTTGCCTATGCTGTTAGCTAACTTAGAATGCTGTCTTTGTGAATACCAAGGAAAATTTCTGCTCAATCCATGCTCAAATGTCCAAAACCTGAAAATTGGTAACACATAATGAAGTTTGTGTTATATGCTCAATGAAGTAGTTGTAACCATTCATATGTAAAAGTACATATGCAACAAAGTGAAAGAATGACTATATTTATAATGGTAGAAAATGGCCCCATAAAAACATTAAGGCATAGCAGCAAATTCAAGTTTCCTAGATTTGGGGGGAGGGTGGGAAAGTTCAAGACAAGTGTTCATATATAGCCCTGGCTGTCCTGTAAATCAGTCTGGAAGCCAGGCTGACCTTGAACACAAAGATCCACCTGCCTCTGTCTCCTGAGTGTTGGGATTAAAGGTATGCACCATAGTGCCCGGCTTCAAAGGTTTCTAAAGTATGTATAGTTTAGCTGGGCGTTGGTGGCACACGCCTTTAATCCCAGCACTCGGGAGGCAGAGGCAGGCGGATTTCTGTGAGTTCGAGGCCAGCCTGGTCTACCGAGCGAGTTCCAGGACAGCCTCTAAAACAATACAGAGAAACCCTGTCTCGAAAAACCAAAAAATAAAAAGAAAGTATGTATAGTTTACTGCCATATTGTACATGCTAAGTAAGATTTTAAACAATATTCTCTCCGAAAGTCTTAATTGATCTTTATTTTGTTTAAACACTCAATAGAACCTATAACCTAAGAATAACTTCCCATCCACATTCAGATTTCTACAATCCCAGGTTAATCTGCACACACACACACACACACACACACACACACACACACACACACACTCACTCACTCACTCACAGAGTGTGTGACCAAGCATGAAAGAGTACAAGTTTCAGTCAGCCTGACCTATGAGGGAAATAATGTACTCCCAAATTTTGATGTCTTTTCTTTCTAATGATAGTGGAAATAATCTAGTATCCTCCTGGCATTTCTACTCTCTGTATTCAAGGCCAGTTAGGAGCCATACTTAGTGTCATAGGTTTTTAATCACAGTACTGGGAGGCAAAGGCAGTTTCATTTCTGAGTTTGAGGCTAGCCAGGTCTACATGAGTTCCAGAACAGCCAGAGAGGAATGGAGAGACCCTGTGTCAAAAAAAAAAACAGAATAAAAAACAGGAGGTGTGCTTACAAAATTGAGTATGCATTATTCAATAATTTCCTAGAAATTTGACATACATTTCATTCCCAAATAAAGGAAACTTCTTTAAGCTCACCGAATGTGATATGCAAAGACCAAGGACCATCCATGCTGACAGAAAGGTGAACTGTCTAACCACTGACTCTCTTCTCCAATACATACGAAACTTAAATCCTCTTTTTCATTCCATCTCATTACTCAAAGCTGTTGACACTTCCTTTGGATATGTTTAAAAGATCTTAAACTAAAGATTATTGATTACCCAAGAACCACTATGAGAGTATTCTATGCAACTGAAAGGGAGCTTTACAACAATGACATTTCTCTTCCCAGCTATCCTTAAACTAGAATAAAAGTCTGCAATCATAACTATATTTCAAAGTTATGAAAATGTATGAGCTTTTATCTCATTCTCCACAAACTCAAATATCTCAGGTTTGATTGATCTGATACTAGCACAATATATTAGGCTAGCTGAAGCTTTCAAAACAGCCAGAAACTCACAAAACTGTGCTACTTCTCTCAGATTTGGAGGAATGACCCATGATACCAAGAAGTTGGCCATGAGCTTAAAAAAATAACTCCAGTAGAAATGTCTGCATCATTGGTTTTTATTTCACCATTATATTTTTATTTTAGAAACAATCTTACCCACTCCCCAAGGATAGTGAGGACTTAATCAAAGTCTGTCACATCATTTGGAGGAGGGTCTAGGCCTTCTTTTCGTGTATTTGAGCTCTCTGCATCATTTTTAATTTACTAGTTCACCACACATTGGTCTTTCTTTGGGAGTTTATTGAGCTATGTTTCACATTATGATATCCTGAGCATATATTCAACGCTGGAAACTGCAACCATTATTCCAAGAACACAAAGAATGTAAATATTCAATGTACTTCAACAATATAAATTAAACCACCAGTATGCACAAGTCACAACTGAAGAGCATTAGGATATTTTTGGTGATATTTCTAGAACTTGACACAACACATACCCATGGTGGAGTGTGTATGCGTATGTGTGAGGGGGGGAGGAAAAGAGGGAGGGAGGGAAGGAGAGAGGGAGAGAGGGAGGAGTGTTTGAGAGAGATATCAAAAGACAGACAGAGAATATCTTCCTGTGTTTAAATTTCCCAGGCTCCACCTAAAATCTACAACATGACTGGTTTAGTCTCATCCTTACAGAACACTTGAGTAAGTAGTCTGCCCTCAATGTCTACAAAGCCCAAGGCCAAGTTATTAATTTTACATTAAGATAATTTAACAGATTTGTGCTGCTGTGGCACTCTATGATGCATTTACATTTTCCACCATTTATGCTTTTATTATTTCAAGTGAAAGAAAAACTTGAAAATAAATGACAGTATATTTTAAATACAAAATCTTCATTCCCAAAGTGTTCATTATAAAAGTAATAAAAAGATGGAACCTAGGTGCAGAAAATAAAGCTCAGCGGATAAGGGTATTTAGTACCAAGTTTGATGACCTAAGTAAGCTATAACCCTGGGATCTACATGTTAGGAGAAAGGATTTTCCCAACAAACTGTGTGTGTGTGTGTGTGTGTGTGTGTGTGTGTGTGTGTGTGTATGAAAGGAAGTGGATAGAAGTTTTTTTCAGGTGTTCTGGCAAAGTGGTTATGTTTTAAGATAGCAAGCAGGTATAAGTTGACACAAAGGGATATACAAACTAGGTGTAGTGGCTTATGCCTGTAACAGTAGCACTTGGGCGACTGAGGCAGGAGGATTGCCATCCTTTGCTGTATTGTCAGTTCAGGCTTGTCTGGTATATACAGTAACATTCCGTCTCAGAGTCTCCAAAATTAAAAAGGAGGGTGTCACAGTCTGGAGGTAGATACACAAATTTTAAATGGTTGTTTCCACACAATGGCTATAAAAAAGTGCTATTGTCAAGTCATCTTCAATTACATAACTGTGATCATCTGTAATAAAATCAAGTACTTGTTTATCTCACTAAGTTAATGTATAGCAGTTAATGTGGCAAAAATTGTGAGTTTTTAATTAATTAACTTTCTAGCCTGATCACAGCTATCCCTTTCTCCCTCCTCTCTCCTCACCTCCCCTCTCCCCCCATCCATTTCTCCTTTCTCTTCAGAAAAGAACAGATCTTCCATGTATATCAGTCAGCGATGGCTTATCAAGTTACAGTAAGACTAGACACATCTTATCCTATTAAGGCTGGATGAGGCAATGCAGTGTGAGGAGTAGGGTTCCAAAGCAGGGATAAGAATCAGAGACAGCCCCTACTCTGTTAGGAGACCTATAAGAAAACCAAGCTACACAACTGTAACATATATGCAGATTTCCGATGTCAGTCCCATGCAGGCTCTCTGGTTGTTGGTTCAGCCTCTGTGAGCCCCTATAAGCCCAGGTGAGTTGTTTCTGTGAGTTTTCTTGAGGTGTCCTTGACCTCTCTGGCTCCCACAATCTTTCCTCGCTTCCATAGGATTCGCTGAGGTCTGTCTAATGTCTTTCTGTAACTCTCTGCATCTATATCTGTCAACTGCTGTGTGAAGCCTCTCTGATGACAAACAGAAGGAATCAGGTAGAAGGATGATAGAGGGAGAGAGTACTGGGAGACAACTGGAATCAGGGAGCATCTGTGGGACAGCTAAAGACCTAGTGCAGTGGAAACTCCCAGGAATGTATGAGGGTGACCCTAGCTAAGTCTCCTAGCAATGGGAGATACAGAGCCAGAACCAGCCATCTCCTGTAACCACCAGGCAAGACTTCCACTGGAGGGATTGGGACCCTAACCCAGTCACATAATCTTTGCCCTCAAATTTTGCCTGCCTACAAGGTATGCTAGAGTAAAGGTGGCACAGAGATTATGGGAGTGACCAACTAATGACTGCTCCAATTTGATACCCATAC